GCCCACACGTGTGCCAAGTCCCAGTCCAGCTGCCAGTACAGCCCTGACCCATCCACACGCCTGGCAAGGCCGGCCTTCTGTATCCAGTGGATACAGCTCTCAGGCTCTGTCTGGTGGGCTCCCATAAGGTTTAAACATAATAGGCTTTACACAGATTTAACTACAGATTGTACAGGGCTGCCTGTATATAATATGGTATTCATACAACGTCCAAATCGCATAACAGCTTATTTCACAGAATGTATGGTGGACATTAAGCGATGCATACCTGTATATAGTGTACCTTTCTATGCATAAAAAAAAATTAAAGAAACACTTCCAGATACACTAAAACATTTTTAACAGAAAATACAGTAATAATAATAATAATGTTTTGATGCATGTCTCAAAGTAGCACCTGTTTGTTACTAGGAACCATTGTATGTACCTTGAATTTTTAATACAATAGGCTTTACAGGGTTGGTTTGTTAACTGTGAGTTGTACGTAAGTCGTATGTTCATAACCCAGGGATTGCCTGTACTCGGAAATCCCTAGTCAGCAGGGTAAGTGTGAGCCTATTTAGGAATGAAAGGTATTGTCAGCAGTTTGTGCTCGGTAGACAGTCTTTCCCTGGGCATGGGACTGCCCTGGAGAACCATTTGCCAGAGAGAGCATCTGTCAGATCATTCACAGGTAACTTTGAGGTTTGGAGGACAAGGGTCAGAAAGTGGTGATAGAAAAATGGCCTTTAGTGTTAGAATTTGTGAACAAATATTTTCTATGTAGCCCTTGCCCATTCTGTACAATAAGAGGTATTAGAGACAGCTGGGTAGAGAAATAGTAGTACCTGTGACTAAATATGACTTTTGACTGTTTCTTATCATTTAATTCTATACCTCTTATATGTCATTTCTTACCTACCACTCTCTCAAATAATCTTCAAAACTTCGTTTGCTCTTTTTGCCCACGGTACTATTTATTGCATTCCTTGTAAACTAAACTACACCTTTCTTTTTGAATTCTAAAGGACAGAGACCTGGGATGTTACCATACTAGGTTATTATGGTTGAAATAGAATTGATAATTTTGGCCATTTAATTCTGAAAAACAGGATCGTGTGGGTGGACGAGTTGCTACATTTCGCAAAGGAAACTATGTAGCTGATCTTGGAGCCATGGTAGTAACAGGTCTTGGTAAGTAATTCTTAGTTTTATGCTGCAGAACAGTGTGAGATTTATAAGATTGTTTAAGATGATATTTTAAAAGTCATAGATAATGCAGTTTCAAAATATATTGGTCTAGGGTACTCTTCCTACTGTTAATTAGAGGTAAATTGCCAAATAATTTTCCTGAAAGGACATGCCACAATATGAGCAAAATTTAAATTGTATGTAACTTTTGACCTAGCAGTTCCAGTTCTAAGAAGTTACCTAAGAAAATAAACAAGTAGACAGTCTTGTGTTTAAGCATTTTTTTTCTTTTCCTTTTTCATTGTGCTTTAGATGAAGGTTTACAGAGCGAATTAGTTTTCTCATTGAACAATTAATGCACATACTGTTTTGTGACATTGGTTGCCAACCCCACGACGTGTCAACACTCTCCCCTTCTCGACCTTGCGTTCCCCATTACCAGCTTTCCTGTCCCCTCCTGCCTTCTCGTCCTTGCCCCTGGGCTGGTGTGCCCATTTAGTCTCGTTTTGTTTTATGGACCTGTCTAATCTTTGGCTGAAAGGTGAACCTCAGGAGTGACTGCAGTACTGAGTTTAAAAGGGTGTCCGGGGGCCATGCTCTCGGGGGTTTCTCTAGTCTCTGTGCGACCAGTAAGTCTGGTCTTTTTTTGTGAGTTAGAATTTTGTTCTACAATTTTCTCCAGCTCTGTCCAGGATCCTCGGTTATAATCTCTGTCAGAGCAGTCGGTGGTGGTAGGCGGGTACCATCGAGTTGTGCTGGACTCAGTCTGGTGAAGGCTGAAGCATTTTTAATATGGCGTTGTTTACAATAGAACATTAGAAACTACAGATTAGAAAATTGAATTATGATACAATGAGAAATGTACAGCCACTAAAAGCTGCGTTGCTCCATATTAACATGAAATGATGTCTACAACATATTGCTAAAGTTGAGAAAAGATTATAAAACAATACATAGGTTATGATACTTTTGTGGGTATATGTCTATAATCTTATACACATAAAGGCTAGGAGGATCTGTAATAAAATGTTGTGGGATTATAGGTGGTCTTTACTTTCTTTACATTTATATATTTTACTGTGAACATTTTTTAGTTGAGATAATTTACATACTGTAAACTTTGAGTATTTTTAATTTTAAGTAAAAATATTTTTACTTTGAGGATTTGGTCTTTTCATAGGTATATTGAATTTAATTGCTTGTGTTTTTTCTAGGAGGGAATCCCATGGCTGTGGTCAGCAAACAAGTAAATATGGAACTGGCCAAGATCAAGCAAAAATGCCCACTTTATGAAGCCAATGGACAAGCTGTAAGTCGAGGACAACCAGAACTTTTCAAAATTTCTTTGGTTTTTGAAAACAGTTTTGGAGAACATGTGGATGAACATACATGCATATAAATATGAGGATGGAACTGATGTGACAGTATTTTGATAGATCCTTAGCCCTGAGGTATATATAAACCAAAATAAAATCCATTGCCATCGAGTTGATTCTGACTTGTAGCAACCCTATAGGACAGAGTAGAACTGCCCCATAGGGTTTCCAAGGAGCAGCTGGTGGATTCAAACTGCTGACCTTTTTGTTAGCAGCGGAACGCTTAAGGGATTATTTTATGTATGCAAATTCACATGCATATGTATGGCATATGTATGCTTGGGTATTTATTTTTAGACAAGGCTAGCTAGGTAATTTTTTTATTTGGCTATGGAATTGAAATCTGATTCTTTATTTCTTGTATTGTGCTTCCCATCATGTGCTTTAACTCTGTGTACTCTTTATGACTTTGGTTTTGTGTTTTTAAGCTCAAGTTTTTGTTGGTCTAATAGCCACATGATGATACTTACCCAAACACTTAGGTGGGTTACATTACAGTATTTGCTGACCCAGAGGCATAGGAGCTTCCTATACTTAGTACAACAATAGCATGGAAGCGTTGTTGGATATGGGAGAGTGAGAGTAGTTTAACAAATATAGGCTTAGACTGTGTAAATCAGTCCTAATTTTCAGGACTGATGCAATTAGTAAAACGTGATACTTTACATTAAGTGATGCTTGGTAGGAGAGGGTGAAATTCAGAAGTTTGTATTCAGCAGTTTTACCAACCCCCCCTATCAGGAGTAAGAGAGTCCACACTTCTTGGGATATAAGCACATTATTATCTTTATATTTTGAGGAATGGAAGATTTGCTTTGTTCATGGTGATTTAACTATCATACAAAAAACGTTAAGATCCCAGCCTTGAATTTTGCCAGATAGTCCCAAGAGACATCTTCAATTACTGCTGTCTACTTTTAAGTTTTATGGGGTTAATATCATAGGAGAACAAACTTTCTGGAAATGCTTTGGTTCCAATCTGTAGCATTCTGGATCCCAGTTCCCTCCTAAGGCTTAGGGGAGGAAGGCTTCTGGGCAGAATAAACAGAATAGAATGAGAGAGAAAAAAGATGAAATAAAGGTTAACTCAGCAATTCAATAAACTTCTGTATTCTGTAAAGATCTCTAAAGGATATAGAGATGAATAAGACAGTCCCTGCCATATAAGATCCCATGATCTAGTGGGGTCAGGTACACAAAGAATTCTTTTTTTCCCAGCTTTTTATTATGGAAAATTTCAAACATACTCAAAGGTAGGAAGAGTACTATAATGAATCCCTATTTTTCCGGTCTTGTTTTATCTTATCCCATTCCTGCTTTTCTTTTGGTTGGGAATATTTTAAACTAAATTACAAACATATTACCTATAACAGTAACACAAAAATTCTAAGTCAAGGCAGATCTGCCAAAGGTTATGTAGAAGTATAATTGCTGTGGAAGAGCCAAAGAGAATGAGAGTCTGTGGAGGTGCAAAGATGAGTGGAGATTTGGAGGGAAGGAGAGCGTTTGTGAAGGGCAGGTTGGGACTTCAACATGTGGTTGTGGAAGGGAAGGATAATGGAGACGGGAAGGTTTAAGTTGAAGCAGAGAGGTCTCTAAAGGAGTATAGGATTATACCAGTGAGGGCAGGATGATAAAAAGCTGAAGTTTAGGATGGGGTTATAATGTGGAGGATGTTGCTTCCTAGGGTGATTTGTAGGTTGGGACATAAGAGATTTGAGAACAGGGAAAGTGACATAGTATACCAGTAACCTGTTGCTGTCAAGTCGATTCTAACTCATAGCAACCCTATAGGACAGAGTAGAACTGCCCCATAGGATTTCCAAGGCTGTAATCTTCATAGAAGCAGACTGCCACATCTTTCTGCCTTCGAGCAGCTGGTGGGTTCGAACCACTGACCCTTTAGTTAACAGCTGAGTGCTTCCAGGGCTACTTGTGTACCAGTTCTACCCCCAGATATGGCCTGCCAACTGGCTGCCAGTGTGTGAGCTTTTGGTTATCTGTATGCGATGAGATAAATAGCTTGCGCCAGAATGTAAATAAACTACAGCATTAGCCATGCTGTTATTTCAGTTGACTTCTTTTTTTTTTTTTTTGGTAGTGAGACTTTCTCAATGAAGGAAGCACTACATTGATTTACCTTCTGGTGCAAAGTGTCTTTCCTTGCCAGGACTTCCTTTGAGAGCACTGTAGTAAACAGTTGTTAAGCTAGTGTGTGGTTTTCAGCATTTTGTATGCAGGGATTTTTTCCAAGTGAGATTTGGTACTAGTAAAGTTGACACTTGTCATTCAGCTCTGATCTTCATGGGGTTTTTTCAAAGTTAGTATGGTTTGTATTTGGTGCAATAGCCAAGTGGTGAGGAGGATTCTTTAAACATTCTCAGATTTGGGAAGAATTGTTTACAGCTTTGGGTCTTGCTTGTTTTATGTTAGTCAGTCAAACATAAGAAGGCTTGTTAATATTTCTGTAATTTGCTGTCCTCAGTAGTCTAGCTCAGAGTAGATATGGGCAACTGTTGGCCAGTAGACTAGCCTTTGGCTTATAGGACAAGTACTACAATAGCCCCATATATTTATGCATGTAATTACAAATATGTTTTTCATGGCTTTAGAAATCTAAAGGAGTAATAGGTCAGTTGTTTCATTCCATTTACCTTAGGGAAGAAACAAAATCTCAGATATGTTGTTTGCCTGAGGTCATTATAGTCAATAAATTGGAGAGTCAGGACCCATTGCCTGGTGTTCCAGCTCAGTTTCCCCTACTTGTTCTACTACATCTGGCTAATATTTCAAGGAAGGTGGAAATGGGGTGAATGTGTGTAACTCTTTCTAGCTGATGTGTCTACATCAGCTGAGTCTTCTCAAAGAGCTTTCTTTTAATAGTTACTCTCATGAGCCAGCAAGGCCCGCCTAGAGTGGAAATTTCACTCAGCCATTGGTTTTTCATTAGTAAACCATCACATGAAATGAATTTGTGTTTTTGCATTCTTTGTGGACAGCCTCAGTGGAAAAGAGAGTGAATTGATGGTTCTCTCGTTAGTACATAGAAGTTAATTCTGCCAGCCTGTACGAGGCCAGCAGTTATACATACCATTTGTGATACTGTCTTAAGGACATATCACCATAACCAGCCATTTTGCCGATATAGGAAAAAGTCATGTAGTTTTTGTTTTGTTATGTTGTTATTATTTTAATCACAATCACAAGGATCCCTGAAAGAGTTTACCTCTTTGTTCTCTCTTGTCCTACATTGGCAGCTAGAATGGTGAGCTTCTGTGTTTGTATTTGACAGGGAAAGTTTATTTTGTGGCTCTGGGTGACTAGAACAAGGGCTTCCCTATTTGGTTTTAACATAGGATATCCTTGTAAATAGAAGTTTCTTCCATTTTGGTTTCTACCATCTCTTAAGCCTATAAAAAAAATCGGAGCTAATACAGCAGCTGCCCTCAGATTGACCAAACTAACTACACATGGAGAAGGTTGGGAGCGAGGGTAATTGATATTTCAGGATCATTTTAGGAGTCACCAAGAGGGAACTGAAAACATGGATGGGGGAGGAGACAGAGGAAATTACTCTAAATGTTTTCTGCATCTCCCGTACACCAGCTAGTAACTTGGGGGTTCAGAATCGTTTTCTCTTGAGTAATGAAGAAGTGTCTCAATCAAATTCCTGCAGTATTGTAGCATTCTGCATTACAAGGTCTCTGATCTCTTTTTGATTTTGTGTGTGTGTGTGTGTGTGTATGTGTTATTAGCAAGTGAGATCCAAAGGCTCAGGTGTGTGTGTGTGTGTGTGTGTATGTGTATGTATGTATGTATGTGTTATTAGCAAATGAGATCCAAAGGCTCAGTAACTACCTTGAGAAATGGAGGTCTTGATTTTCTTGGAATGGCTCAGTTGTTTTGAGGAAGAAAACACGTGAAGGGTAAGGGGTGCCAGACCTCTTACAAAGACCATTAACTATGACAGTACTTTTCATAACGTAGCAAGTTTTCTTTGTATTCACATAGAGTGGTGCTTAGGTTATTTGCTTTTTTTTTTTTGAGTTCAAGGGTTGTCCTTTTCAGTTTTCACCTTCCTTGAGAAAACATCTTCTATATCTTTAAGGCAGTCTTTCTGTACCCTTTAAAATCATGACTGCCGTCCTTTAAAATGTAATGATCTCATGCCTTTCCTTAGTGTTCCTGAAGTTGCAAAATAGTTTTTTTCCTGCAAATAAAGTTATAATACTGACTTTGCATTTCCAAACTGTATTAATTTAATTTAACAAATATTTACTGAGAGCCTCTAATATGTGCTGAAAACTGCTGGAGCTCAGACGTGTTGTGTGGGCCTTCTCCACAACCCCCTCCCCCATCATTGCTTTAAGAAAGTCAGTGATTTATATTTCCTAAAGGATTCCTTATGTGTTAAAAAGGAGGGAGGGGCAAAAGGCTCCATTTATAGAATCACGTTTAATTTTATTTGGGTTGAGGATATATCTGTTGTTCATATTCTCCCTTTAGGGATAATAGCTGTATCTCATTTCCCTTGGCTATTTGGGAACCTGAATTAGAGACTGTTCAAATGTCAGATCTTACCAAAGGAACTAGTAGTCTTTTTTCTCACCTCTGAAGACTTGAAAATAGATCTTATGTTTTCCATAATTCTAAAAGTGCTCAATGGCATGAGGGTGAGGAGGTGGAGGTGACTCTGGCCTCTGTTGTCCAGATTTGGCCATTACAGCTTTTTTCAATGTGTTATTCTTCCTGAGAGTTTCTCTGGCTGAATCTCAGAACTTTCTGTACCTAGAATATTGCTGCACTTAACCCCATTCTGCTCTGCTGCAGGAGACCTTCTGAAGACTGGAAGTGAGAGAGGTGTGCAGTGTTTTTGAAGAGCTAGAGAGCTGGTGATGGTAGAATGCACAGACTTAGACATAAGCAGAGCCGTCCTCTTCCTTGAGATTGCTTCTTGCAGCATCAGGGACCTTGTCTAGAAAGTTGCTTGACTTTCCCTAAATTTATTCTTCATGGGTCAGACACACAGGCTGCCCCTCAGCCCCCACGCCACTTCCATCTAATCTAAAGTACCAGAACAACCATATTGGATGCACTTGGAACAGGGAGACCCATCAGATTCTCTTAGTCTTAAAGGAACCATTTATCTGGAGCCTCTCAGAAGTAAATAAGCTTGACAAGTCATAATCAAAATCTGTTTAAAGTGATACCCTGTTTGTTTGATCCTTTGGTAGAAGGCTGTATTATTTGGTCCTTTCCCAAAAAACTGCTTTTTAGTTTGTTGTTAAGTTCTTGCTATGTTGTCATGTAGAAAATCCCTCCACCTTCTAAGATGGTGCTTAATCCTTTGTAATCATTTGCTGAGTTCCTTTCTCAGGATGCAGTTTCAGACCCTAGAATGGCCAGGTGAAATTGAAATTATTGTTCCTTGTGTTCAGAGGTTGCCAATATTTAAACTCCTTTATGCTGTTCTATAATTATTTGGAGAATGATAGAACACAAGCGGTCTCACCAAGGGGAAAGAAAGACCTGAAGCACAGGTTTTGGGGGCACTTAGGGTAGTCATTTACTAGAGTTCTTTTCAATGCCTAGGTTTGTCAAATAGAATGTTTCTAACTAGCTTAATTTTAGAAGTGGATTCACGGTTTAAACATATCAAAAATACGTTTTGGTATTCTCCTAGTCATTATTGATTTCCTAATGGAACAAGTGTTTTATTTACTATATTCCAAATATTCATTTAATTTCAAAGTGGAATTTTAAAGTTAACAGGAAAAAATCTAGGTTTCAAAGCTAGCCCTGGTTTCACTTGCAACATCCCTACAGTTGCTTAACTGGGCAGAAAATGAGTTGGGGCCTGCATACTGTTTCTCGTAATCTCACAAAAGCGAGCCTCGAGTTTAGAGTGGCGTACCGGAGATGCAGCCCTGCCGTCCTGACTGCAGTCACGTGTGGCAGTAATCTTTTGGTTTGGTTTTTGTTTGTTTGGTTTTTTATGTTGTTGTTGTTCTGTGTTTTTTTCCTTTCTTCTTTTATTGAGTTTTGCTTTATTCCTTACTGCTTTCTGACACCCTCTCCCTCTTCTCCCAACCCCTCTTTTTAAACTGCTTTCCTTTGGCCATTTCTATGCCTTGACATTCCTATTTTGGTCTCTGTACAGTCTGTTCCTTATTACTGTGGTGGTTGCAGCTTCTGAGCTAACAGAATGCTTCTGTCGTGCTGTGTATGTTTAAAGCCTTGATTTTACTGCTGTCGTACAAACTAAACTTGACGTGGCTGTTGGGCTGTTATTTACAGTTTATTTCTCTCTCTGCTGCACTGGTTAAAAGGACACTGTCAAGGTATTTTTTCCTAATTTCTCAAATCATTTTCCTCACTGTTTATAACAACCCATTAAAAGCTTGAAACAAATCTTTCCCTTCCAAAGATCCTCACCATCATGCATTCACACTGGTTTGTTGTTGTAGAGTTGCGCCTATATGTTGGGCTGGTGCCATTTGAGTTTTTGTCATCAAAAGCGCATGTAAAACATCAGTTTTTTTTGTGGGGCTGTGGGTGGACTGAGGGGAAAGTGTAATGAATCAAGCGGGCTGCTCGGCAAACAGAGGGAAGACAAAAGGTCAAATTCGGTCCCTCTAACCTTGACAGTGTCCCTTTAAATATTTCTCTACCACACACCCTGGACCCCACTTACTGAGCCTGAGCACTGCATACTTTCTCAGTATGAACTTCCCTTTGTCCCTGTCATCCTAGCTGCAGAGATTAAAGTTGACGGTGGAAGAGCTTTAATCTGCACCATTTGCACACTTGTGTATTGGCACATTCTGCCCTACTGTAGAGGCACATGTGATCTAGGCCCTCTTGCTGTCATAGCATCCTCTTGCCAGGCATCTTACATATAGAAATAAATATCACCTTTTTGTACTCCAGGAAAAACATACTGCATCTGTGATCAATTAGTTATCATTTGGTCTTTGGAAACTTCATAATCTGAGATCTCATAACTAGGTAGATGATTTTAATCGTTTTGAAAATATAATCATTTCTTTTTTGAAAGGAGCACTAAATTTAGAGCTTCTAGAACTATGTTTTGTAGCATCATTACAGGAATTGCCCTAGAAATAGCTAGTTAAACTGAGCAAAAGTTCAATTGCTTTGAGCTGCTCTGTATGTGACCATCACATTGGCAAGGAAAAGTTACTAATGAGAAAGTAAATGAAATTTCTGACAATAGTCTCTTCCATCTCTAGTAGCTGTATCTTTGGCCGTGGGAGTTGAATGGGTGGGTCACTTGTATTTGATCCACCAAGTTCTGGGCACCACCCCGATACATAAATGACACCTAACATAGCCCTGATATATAAATGGTACCAAGCGTCCAAAGCCCGGTGCTCAGTTCTCAGCATAAACACGAAGATTCTTAGAAGTTTATGTTTTCTTTAGGTTAAAGGTGATTTTCTAATTCAAAAATGTCCTGATCTCTCCCCAGTATGGTCTTTTAGAACTTGATGCTTTAAATATGACTTTGATGACTCAGCTGTGGTGGCTGTCCTATTTACAGTTGCAGAGGAGAGTTGTGATATTGCTAAACCCCTTCTTCTTTTGATGCAGATTGTACCTGTCCCCAAATTCTTTTTGCTCCATTATAGTTCATCTAGTAGAGTTACTTGTGTGACTAATCAGTGAAGAGACAGAGGCCAGTTCTCTGAAGTGGTCTGTCTCACTGGGAAGGGCAAAAACTAAGGCATTTCAAATGAGAGCTAGAGTCTTACTGTGATGATCTTGTCCACTCAGTCAGTTACCTCTGATTGTACAAGATCACTCTTCAGTCTTAGTGATTACTGGAATTGACTTTCATGTTTTGTTTTTCTTGTTACCAATTTTAGGTTGTCTGTAAAGTGAAATTCCATATTTTGAGTCCCATTTCCCAGTTGATGCCCAGCTTATTCTGGGATATGTGTGCTGGCAAGAGGTGCTTGCCTTAGACATGCTTTTTCCTTCTCTCTATGCTGCCGTGAATTCCGCACTAGAATTGTAGATCAGTTTACCTTGAGCCTGACTGAAGCAGTAGCAAGAGTTGTGTGTCAGCTAACTGGTGGTGTCAGTGGGCAGCGGCACAGCATGGCTCAGGAACATGGTCTTGCAGCTTGATGATCTGCTTTGCAATCTGTTCCCTTCATCTACCAGTGAGGAGCCAGACCTCTGGCACCTCAGTTACTCATAGTCTCTGTAAGAGCTTTGGACATTCAACTCTTAAACTCATTAGTGCCACAAAACATCTTTCCTCTGCCAAAGGATAAAGGTGTTAGTGTGTTCTTAGTAACAGCTATGACTTTCACTTCTCTCTCCCCATCTCCCACCTGAAATCCTGTCATCTTTGAGGGGAGGCACATTGGGCTTCTTATTTTCCCGTCTTACCCTTATTCTGGAAGGTCATCAGGTGTGTTGACAAAGCTTTGGTTCTCTGGGACTTCTCCAGCATGTTGTTTGCATGTCAGCCCAGCTCAACTCAGTGCATGTCAGCTCCGGTGCACCTTTTGCTCCATGTAACTTCAGTCAACTAGCACCAGCGTAAATCTTGTGGTTGGGAATATAGGTGGAGTCCCAGCTCAGAGGGCAAAGGTGGGAGAATAGAAAAAAATCAGGACCAACACATTTCATATCTCATTCAAATGGAATTGACCACTTCATAGAAAAGAAAATTTGAATCATTGTCCTCAAAGGTTTCCCTTTGAGATACATATTTTGACCTTTTTGAACAGTAGAGCATTTGTGTTTTTTTAGATGGTTATTTTCACTCTTATATAAGGACCAACTCTGCTATACTTCGGATTTTCAGGTTCCTAAAGAGAAAGATGAAATGGTAGAGCAAGAGTTTAACCGGTTGCTAGAAGCTACATCTTACCTTAGTCACCAACTAGACTTCAATGTCCTCAATAATAAGCCTGTGTCCCTTGGCCAGGCATTGGAAGTTGTCATTCAGTAAGTACCTTGATACTGCTTACTGTAGAGTGAATTACATCTAGCGATTGGCTGTTGTGCTTTAAGTTTTTCAGCAAGTCTTATTCAAGCTAGTTTTCACTTACTTTCATGTGATACAGTTAAATTCAAATGTAAAAACACTTAATTACCTGATCCTTAAGATTCTTGTCTATTAAAAAATTAATTGCTTTTATGGGATTGTACTGTATTTTCACATAGCCTAAAAAATAATTTGTCACCGGCCAGCTTTCTTGTTCCAAAGTGTTGGAAATTTCAGCAGGCTCGGTGGCCAGGGCATGCATGTTGTCTCTCCTAGGTTGCAAGAAAAGCACGTCAAAGATGAGCAGATTGAACACTGGAAGAAGATAGTGAAGACTCAGGAGGAATTGAAAGAACTTCTTAATAAGGTGAAATTCTGTATTTATCTTCTTCATAGCTGAAGTCTTTGTGTGGGGTGGGGGACAACCTTTGGTTTAGAAACCTTAACAGTGTTTCTAATTTTTTTTTCTCCATGGAAGAGAAGGTCTGCACAGCTAGGACTCATGATTCTTAAGAAAATAATGAGGAGCAAAAGGCGTTGTTTTATCTGTTGGTCTTTCCATTTCAGCATGGCACTATCGATAAATTGTTGCCAGTGGGAAATA